ATAGGACAGAAAAGGAAGGGAAAAAGAAAATTAATATAATGATAAAAGAATATACAAAACAAGTGATGCACAATGCAATTGCTCGCCACCCGCCAGTTCCCAAGCAGCAGTCACCGCTCCCCGGCTAACTCCCCCCAGTTTATTATTGAGCATACTGTCATATGGTATGGAATATCCCTTTGGCCAGTTTGGGTCAGCTGTCCTGACTGTGCCCCCTCCCAGCTTCTCGCTGGCAGGGCATGAGAAGCTGAAAAGTCCTTGACTTAGTGTAAGCACTACTTAGCAACAACTAAAACATCAGTGTGTTATCACATTATTCTCATACTAAATCCAAACCACAGCACTATACCAGCTCCTAGGAAGAAAATTAACTCTATCCCAGCTGAAACCAGGACAGATGTCAAAGAAAGTAAAAAGAAACGAAGAAAGAAAAAAAGAAACTCAAAAGTCAAAAGAAATCAAAACTAGAGTCTGAGAAGTTTATGACGAGAGCAAGTAGGCTGAGAGGATGGGAATTGTAAATGATTTTATATTTTCTCAAGCTAGACAGAGACATTAATGCAAGACTTACAGGTGATTTACAATGACTTTTCACCTGTTGCAGTTGCATTTTTTTTGTCATGTCCACACACAGTTGCAGAAACTGCAGTGTGATCCTACTCACCTGATGTGTTGAATTACTTCAGTTGTTTTCCCATTGCACAGGAAACAGAGTTTGACCTTTCTGGTGATGTATTCTGCTTTCACGCTACTGCCATAAAGCAACACTAAAATCTTAATTAAGAACCAGGCCAAATATTATAATTAAATTAAAAATTATTTCCTTGAACATGGTCTGAATCACTGCAAAATGATTGCACTTCTGATAGAAACTGATCTTTTCCAGCTCAGTTTTCACTCCTCATCTGGTTAGTCCTGTTTATCATCACAAATGTGATAGGACAGGGAAATTGGGCCCTTTGTGGCATGTTCAAGTCTACTATGTACTGAACAGATTATGACTTTCCTGGAGAATCAAGAAGTACTCTGTCAAAAATTTTATAAATATGTATTATATGCCACCTTATCCCAGAAAGCATAAAAGAAATTTCAAATATGCTTGGTACTTATGTAACACTGACAGAAACGAGGAGGGGACAAACGGGGGAATATATCCTTGAACAGTAGCAGATTTGGACTCCTGTTCCTTATACAAAAGTCAAATTGCACTCATCAACTTAATCTGTGTGAAGGTTCACATACTACCTATATTGTAAAATCTGACAGTTTTATCATGATTCATATGATGAAATACTATACAAGGCTTAAGTTGCCAGACACAAGTTATAAGAAAATCTCAGATTTACAATTTTTTTTTTTTTATAGGAAGTTTCTAGCCCTGAAAGAATGAAGGGAAATGCTGAAAATTACATCAGAGTATTATAAGCACTTAAAAGTTCAAAGGAAAAAACAATCCAAACTATATTGATTCTAAATGTCCTTTCTTAATTGCAACCCCATGTGTTGGGGGTTTGTTTGTGGGGGGTTTTTTTGAGGGCAAATAGAGGAGAAAAGGAGAGCAGAGGAGTTTGGGTGGCTGGTAATATTTTTTTTCACTAAAGTACTAGCTGAAACACTGCTTATTTTTCTTGCTTGGCTTACTTGTTTTTGCAATAAGTTCTCTGCCATATGTCACAGCCTCCATGAAGTCAACCATTCTCAGAGGATTTTCCATTACCACACTATTTGCTGAATCACAGTGCCCATTTTCCAGAGTTCATTAAGAAAAGTAGTAACAAATAGCACATGGTTCATTCTTTTTCCCAGCCTCTCTCTAGATTAAATGTCTGTTTGTGACTTTCATAGTGTAAATAAAATATTTCTTATAATTTGAGAATGCAGGGTAGAAGATTAGGCCAAGACATAGAAAGGTTTTTGGTTGCAGGACATTTGGATGTAGTTGCACTGACTGCCTTTAGCCCAAACATGTTCAACTCTTTGGGATTCCTCTGGGATCAATAGGAGAAAAAGAATGGAAGACAAACCAGAGTCAGATTCCAGCAATAAATTGTCCAAGTTAATTTGTTTCCTTTGTAAGAAGGCTGTATTTATAACATCCACATGGACTGATACTCATAATGGGTTTATATTTATAATATTTATATTATTTTTATTTGTATTTATATGGATTTTTCATATTTATTTAAATGTATAATGGTGTAATGTTAACCTTATTAAGTTTAATCTTAACCAAAATAAAACTAAGGAAATAATACAGAATTTTACAGATTTTAATAAAAAGGCATTACTTTTTTTAAAAAAAGAAATTTTATAACATATATGACATTTAATCTATTTGCTACACTTTCTTTTTGTAATTTTTTATATGTGTACTGTCCTACCTATGCAAATGCAATACTGCAGTTTTCCCAAAGTTAATAAAACTAAACCTTTGAATGAATTCAATAAAAAAAATGAAAGATGTTCATAATTTCTTTGTTTTAATTAGGTATGTTTAAAATTTCTCTCGCATATTTACTGATCGTTTTTTCTTTGTTTTTTTATTTACTTTGAAAAATCTAGCTGGTCACTGTGGTATTCCAGATCTTATAGTCAATGGTCAAGTAATTGGAGAAAATTATGGATATAGAGACACAGTTGTATACCAGTGCAGTCCTGGTTTTCGGCTGATTGGTTCTTCTGTACGAATATGTCAACAGGATCACAACTGGTCTGGTCAGCTTCCATCCTGTGTGCGTAAGTAAGCATGGCAACACATACTGTTTTATGTTACAGGAATGTCTATGTCAGACAAGATGAGGAGTGACTTTGCAACTTAGTATTCATTTTTCAAAAAAAAAAAGATTTAAAGCAGATCTTCAAAAGTATGTGGCCACCTAAAATCTGTGATTCACCTATCAGGTGAAGTTTAATGTTGTCACTTAAAATTTCCATTGCATCTTTTGGCTACTAAATACCTGTCGTTTTTATATGAATATGAAACTTCTTGAAAAAGTGATGGGACTTAGGCACCCAGGTACTCAAATTTGAAAATGGCTTTATGTCCCTTAGTGGCTTTTAGAAATATTTAATGTACATTTACTTTGAATGCGGTAGTTAGATAAGTAGATACTCTTGAACTACTCTGTCAGCATTGATGATTAAAATGTTTGCTTCAACAAACATACTTTTTTTTTTCTTCTCCTCACAGAGATACTGTTATTTTGTTTTCTGGTTTTAGTTTTGGCTTTTTTGGCATGAATTTTGTATTTTGTTAATGAGACTCCTTTTGTGTAATAAGTGTGTCAACATATCAAATGAAATACCATTAAGTAATAACAGAAAATATTGTATTCCATTTAGGAAAATTTCCAGAATTCTCAAAGGATTCTCAAGCAAATTACAACAATGTTTCAATAATTCAGGTTGAGTAATATCAGTGTATTGAAAATGTATTAGTCTGCCTACAAATATTCTATTTTTATAGCTACATTTTTGTAGCAGAAACTATCTGAATGATGAATCATAATACACAATGTTAATTCATGACCCTTTCTGCTCACTCTTTACTTTGTTTTACATAGAACTAGATACACATAACACTATATAATAATTGTATTCCTTAATTTTGTTTCCACTTTATGATCTAGTAATAGATCATTACTTCTTTATATTACATTTCAGACCAACACAGTTCTTTATAGGTAAAACGGCAATAAAATTAGACACCGTTAATCAAGAATTTCTAAATTAAAATGTAAATATCAGTGTTAGAACTGGAAAAAAAAATGTTTTGGATGTGCTAACAGCAGAGAAAATGGACATATTTTCTTCCTCCAATCAAATGGAAGTTGCTTGTTTGAATCCAGGAGAATGAGCAATATAGCACTTCAGAAAAGGACACAAGACTTGGGAAAAAGCTTAGACTTGCAAAAGGCTGCTATAAACAACAGCTGCCTCTAACTTTGTGATAGATATTTAGCAACATCTCCACTTCAGATCAAAGGTTCAAATGAAGTGTAGAAAAATAGCCTCACATTTCCTTATGTATTTAACTTCAGATGTTTTAATTGAATTTTTGAGATTATGTGTTTAAATTTAGTGATTCTGACCATTCCACTTTTGAATTCACCATTCCTCTTGTTTATACAGTGGGCAGACGTATTACTACTGTTGTGTATTGCTACTATAACTGCATGGGTATTATTCAAAATTTTATGCAAATTTCATACTTCTGTTTTCACAAGAATAATTTTTATTGTTTTTATATGTACATTAAAAAAAAACTTTGTGGACTGAATGCATATTTTTGCCTGACAGTTTTACAGTTTAGTGTACGATTCCAATTACTCTCTTGGGGAAAAAATGCAATTCCTTATATATAAATTTCTGATACCAGTAACGTAAAGATAATATATTTAATTAAAATAACTTAGTGATATTAATACAACATACAGAATTCAATTTAACTTTCATTCATAGAATATACTGTGATGATACCAGTAACGTAAAGATAATATATTTAATTAAAATAACTTAGTGATATTAATACAACATACAGAATTCAATTTAACTTTCATTCATAGAATATACTGTGACTTCTCTGTATGTTAGACTAGTTCTTAAGGACCATTTTCACTTTTTTGATGTTGCTAAAAATTTTACTTTATTTAGATTATATGAATGGGTTTCTTTTAGAGTTATCATGTTAAGTCTATTCTACACGGAGAAAAAGAACATATATTTGTCAGACAAAAAAAAATTAATTTAGAAAAATAATGAAGTTTCTAAAGTGATAAACATTTGAGAGTTAAATACTTTATTCTGTGATTTTTTTTTCATTTTAAATTACTGATGAACTTTATATTTATCAACAACTGGAGTTTGTTAAAACATAGAAGAAAATATTTATACATTTTTAAAATTATTTTGGGAAAATTAATTTCTGTTTTATTTTCCTTACTATTTTTGCATCTGGTCTTTGTGGGTACAGAAAAGGAACTTTACCTTCTGTTGTCAGTTTTTGTATAAATACAAGTAAACTATCACAGTGCCCAAAACATTTCATATATCCAGTCATAAATTTATAACTTCACTAATTACTTAGGCCTCAAAGATAAAACAGAGTGAGTCGATACTAAGACATATTTGTAAGAAATAATACCTGAGGAACTAACGCACTGAAATATTTCCTTTCAATTGCAGAAAATATGTAATGAAAATCAGGTGCTTGCTTTTCTCCTGATTCTTCAGAAAAGTTTTCTTCATTTGCTGTGATTACTACATGGCAAATTCTATTCAGTTTATTTAAATATTTAAATAAGTGCTTGAACATTTACTAAAATATATCTTAGTTCTTATTCAGTTTAGAGAAATGTGAATCTTTCACGGAAAGTACTCAGTATCTTATAATATCAAAACTTTAAAATACTATTATATAATTATTATAATGATTATCTATTACATCATAAATCATAAAAAGTGATAGCAACATGCTCTGTTTGGTTTTTGTTTCTTTGTTTTGTGCTATGCTAGCCGTTAGCTGTGGTCACCCTGGTAGTCCTATTTATGGAAGAACAAGTGGAAACGGTTTCAACTTCAATGATGTTGTGACATTCTCATGTAATACTGGGTATGTTATGCAAGGACCAACCAAAGCACAGTGTCAGGCTAATAGGCAGTGGAGCCACCCACCTCCAATATGCAAAGGTAAGAATACAAGCACCTACAGATTTCAAACTTAGTTGGAAAATTAAGGTTGAAAAATAGACTGAAGGCAAAGGGACACTGTCAATACAAAATTATGTCTCTCTTACTAACAGGTATCAAATTATTAAAGAAGATGTTTCATGATTCTCTGATTCTATAATTTTCAGTTAGGTCTGTTCTACATTCAGGTTGCCAGGATAACTGTTGCAGAGAAACTTTCTTATGTGTCTGTAGTTTGTATTGATATTTAAAATGGTTTCTACAAGTTCCTTAAGCAAAATTATGCAGAGATAATTAAGAGCTTAAATCCTGAAATAATGTTATCTGCATTTTTAGCCAACATAGTTCTAATAGGTGCTTAAGAAAACATACTTTTTTTTCCTTTTTTTCCATTAATCTGACTGCTCATCTTGACTTTTTAAATTTTTATTCTAATTTGTTAGCATAATCCATTTGGGTTGGTTCTCAACATTTCTGGATATTATATTTAAAATTCTTTCACTGAAAATAAAAGAATATTATGAAATTAGTTCTGTTTGAGTATTCATAAGCACTTTTAAAAAGGTTTTATCACCAGTGTCCTTTTCAAGTCTGTTGTTATGTGCTTTTTAAATGTTTGAATTGTTCTCATTTAGAAAAATGTACTTTTTGCTGCAACCTGCTTGCGCATATGCAGAAATTGTATTGATTGTTTTTCAGCATCTTCCCAGCAGCTTCTATGGATATTTATGTGTACACAGCCTAAGTTATATTATGTATTTTAGTAATTTTATTTAGTATATTTTCCTTCCAATAGGTGTCCTCCACTTTCCTTTGATCACTTTGCCTTAAGCAATACTGCGAAACAGTTTACAGAACTGAAATTTCCAAGGACCTTTTTGTTGATGAGAAGTTATTATTTTTTAAATTTGTAATACTAAACATGCACTGTGTATTAAGGATACCTAATAAATCTCATTTTCAGTCCAGTTGCTATAAATCACCTCGGTGTTCTGGTATTGCAGAGTAATGTGTCAAACTGTCTGATATGTTATTAGCCTGTAGGGATCAGTAAACAGGTTGATCAGGTTATTCTCCAAAATTTTACACAGTCCTGAAATCTTCTACTAGTTTTAGAACAGACTTTAAAAATAAGAAGAACCAACTTTGTGTAGAACATTAGTGGGGTCTGTAATGTGCAGTGAAATCAATTATAACTAATATGATTTTGTTCTATTTGCATTGAAGTTAAATAAAAAAAAATAAAAATATGTTACTTTGCATACTTTTAAACTGCCTAAAGTGCAATATTATAGAAAAGGCTGCAGTCCTTTGTGAAGGCTAAATTTGCAATCATCATATAAATTCAGCAGTGCACTTGCTGTTGTTACACTGTCTACAACTTTGCTAAATAGCTAGTTTCCTAGCCAACTGTAATAATAGTGGAAAACTACTGAAATGGACAAAGCTTCTTGTATTTTCTTTCAAGTATTCACAACTTCAGATTTATTAATAAATAATTGTCATTACTTAAAGTACATGTTGAATAACGTGAAGATGAATGTTCAATTGTTATAAAATGCTTGTCTACAAAAATGAAAATAGATAGAAATATAGATCAAATTTTCCTCCAGAAAAAAGATAACAAATTTTCAACACTGACCATCAATAAAACTAAAAAAAATTATCTGTCATTTAATGTTAAAGAAGTCAAATCCAACCAGAAAGCTATTTCTATCCTTGAAAAATATATGTATTCTAGTCTTGCAATACCAATATTTGAGAGCTGTTAGGCGGAGCACACAAGCAGACTCCAACATTTAGGATAGTGAGTAGAGAGAAGCAGGTGAGCCATAAAATAACTACATTGAGTGATGTAGGTAGGAAAAATGATCTTAAATTGCATCTGGCAATAGCTTTCTTTTTTCTTTTTATATTACAGAGCTTTTTAGCATATTTTGATACTTCTACGTACACACCTCCGTGCACATACACACAGAGATATGTATATATTTGCACGCAGGTACATACACATGTATGCATATAAACACGCAATTGATTATAAGGATATAGGGATAGTAATTTTTACATGAACTGTAGTTTTCTAGAGTAACTTTGAGTAGGTGATGATGTGTTTACTTGACCAGAGGAGTCTATTGCATGGAAGCTGTTAAAAAAATCTCCATGATCCCCAAAATAAGTATTATATTCCCCTCACCAGACAGCTGTAAGTTGCAAAAAAGGAAAAAAAAAAAATCAGTCTTCACCGATTTTCAAACATATGAGTCCTAAAGTAGTTGAGGACCCAAAAAATCCATCAGTATTCTTAACCATCAAAGTATACCCCTATTTTTAAAAGCACATACCCATTTGTGGGGATATGTCCCTGTTCTAGCAGAATCACCACAGTTTTACCTAACTGACCATGTGCCCTTTAGCTCAAAACATCTGCCTCAAAGGTGCTCCATTATCAAAATGTTAGTATAGGAACATAAGTATATTTGCATGGCTGTGTGGGTTAAACCAAAGGTACATCTAGCCCCATAACCTATTTCCAGCTGGGGGCAATAGTTTATGTCAAGGCAAGAGTATAAATTGAATATATGGGCACGTCCAGTCACTTTTAGTGGTGAATACTTTTACAGCATCATCACACTCTGTGAAGAAACATTTCCTTTTATTTGCTCTGAGTTTAGCATCTCCTGGTTTCATATCATCTTCCTAATTCAGTATCATTATATATAAAATCATGGTATATAAAATCAGGGTAGCAACACATTGGAAGTTTCTCATACAAAGGGTAGAAGACCATTTAAAGAACATTTTAGTAGACTGTATTTGTATGACTCTCAAGTCTGTGCTCTTTTTCTTTTTAGTGGTCAATTGTTCTGATCCTGGAATTCCTGCAAATTCTATAAGAGAAAGTAAAATCGAACATGGAAATTTCACATATGGCACAGTGGTATTTTATGACTGTAATCCTGGATATTTTTTATTTGGCTCTTCAGTTTTAATTTGTCAACCAAATGGCCACTGGGACAAACCTCTACCTGAATGCATTAGTAAGTAGATAATGTGTATGCTTCTACAAAGAATGTGGACTAGACTAGGTATTATTTTACACAACATTTACATCAGTCTCATGACAGCCATTAGAATAATCATATTTATATACATTTGTGTGTGTGCAGTAATGATGCAGCAGCTGAAGTAGCACAGTTATATTGTTATTGTATGTAACAAATAACATAGAAACCTTGGGAAATGCAATAACGGAAACAAACATGTCCGAATGCTTCAGCACAATGATCCCTGATAGCAGGGATAGAAGGTCAAAATACATCAATTGAATTTGCCAATACGTGGCCTCCATTGGCCACAAAGCTATAATCACGCTGAAACTTAAAAACTATAGTACCCAATTATTGACTTATGTCACTGTGGTACTTTCTGGATTTCTCTTGGGACAACAGCAAGATCAGACTATCTTTGAAGACAGTGAGCAAATAGTAATGGCACTGTAAAGCGCCAAAAGTGTCCTCTGGATCATGTCCTCAGCTTACCACACTACCAGATGTACCTGAACATCATAGTCATACGTAACCTATCTACTAAGGCAAGTGGATCAATACAAGGAGGTTGTTTTTGTTCTGGCTTGTCATGAACAACTTTCTAACTGTGATGTAGATATAGCCACAGATGTTTCATAGGTTTTTAATTGGCTGGGACAGCTGGTTTACCCAGTTCTCTAAGTCTATGAAAAAGCTTTTGTTTTAGGATCAAAATTTCTCTCTGAGAAAGGCTGAAAGCTTTATTTTCTAGAGATTAAAGGGAAAACAGGCTAAGGGTTACTTATTCAGGAATCATGGACTGATATTTGCAATATTGTAGATATTAGTTCTCAGTTTTACCTTCATTAGTCTTCCTTAATTGAGGTTTCTCCAGTTCTGCTATTCTCTCTCTAAAAAAAAGAAACAAACCTGAAGCTCTCTCTGAGAAAGGCTGAAAGCTTTATTTTCTAGAGATTAAAGGGAAAACAGGCTAAGGGTTACTTATTCAGGAATCATGGACTGATATTTGCAATATTGTAGATATTAGTTCTCAGTTTTACCTTCATTAGTCTTCCTTAATTGAGGTTTCTCCAGTTCTGCTATTCTCTCTCTAAAAAAAAGAAACAAATCTGAAGCTTTATTTCTTATTACTGTTAAAACCTTTGGTTCTGGAAGTTGTCCCTTTCTTTGATGGGATAAATAGCTTGATTGCAAGTCACAGTTAAACTTATGACAAAGAGTCTACCAGTTTCACATTAAGTTTTAAGGTAACATTACCATTTCAGAAAGATAAATGTTACTTAATAGTAACATATCTCCAAAGAGAAAGAAATTCTAAAGGTAAAGGTGCAAAGATTTCTTCTTTCTACTTTTGTATTTTTATCTCTTAATCTTCTTTCAGAATTGTCACTAGTAATTTAATAATACAGATTTTACTCTTCTTTTAAGCTGACTTTTGGGAGTAAGAGTGCTATATGTACTTTTGAAAAGACATTCTCAGCTTTATTTGTGTCATTTATATAGAGGGGTCAATGAATTCTAACCTAGGCACTGTCCATGATATTTTGTAATCATAAAGCTTACCAAAACTTATTCTGATGCAGCTACTGAATATTTTTTATAAGAGCCTTTCAGCTTCTGGAGTGTTTTACAAATTGTTTCCCTTTTAGACATATGCAGGGCAGTCATTTTGTAGTCCCAGGAAGAGTATAGGGACGCTGCCAGGTTGTGTAGGGATGGAGTCAGGAAGGCCAAGGCATGGCTGGAGCTGAACTTGGCAAGGGATGCAAAGGATAATAAGAAGGGCTTCTACAGGTATGTCAGCCAGAAATGGAAGGTCAAAGAAAGCGTACCCCCCTGATGAACACGACTGGCAAACTGGTAACAACAGATGAGGAGAAGGCTGAAGTACTCAACAACATTTTTTGCCTCAGTCTTCACTGGCAATCTCTCTTCCTGCACCTCACGAGTGGATGGACTGCAAGACGGGGACTGGGAGAGCAAACTCCCTCCCACTGTAAGAGAAGATCAGGTTCATGACCACATGAGGAACCTAACCATACATAAGCCTATGGGACCTGACGAGATGCATCCCAAAGTCCTGAGGGAATTGGCTGATGTAGTTGCCAAGCCACTCTCCATGATATTTGAAAAGTCATGGCAGTTAGGTGAAGTCCCTGGTGACTGGAAAAAGGGAAACATTGAATGCATTTTTAAAAAGGGTAGAAAGCAGGACCCTGGGAGCTACGGACCTGTCAGCCTCACCTCTATGCCTGGGAAGATCATGGAACAGATCTTCCTGGAAGCTATGCTAAGGCCCATGGAGGACAGGGAGGTGATTTGAGACAGCCAGCATGGCTTCACCAAGGGCAAGTCCTGCCTGACTAACCTAGTGGCCTTCTATGATGGAGTGACTACATCAGTGAACAAGGGAAGAGCTACAGATTTCATCTGTCTGGACTTCTGTAAGGCCTTTGACACGGTCCCCCACAACATCCTTCTCTCTAAACTGGAGAGGTATAGATTTGATGGATGGACTGTCCAGTGGATGAGGAATTGCTTGGATGGTCGCATCCAGAGGGTAGTGGTCAACGGCTCAATGTCCAGATGGAGATTGGTGA